ATGTTGACACCTTATTTCACCATAGACAATTTTTCTTATAATAGTACAATTTCAAAACCAGGAAATTTAACATTGTTTAAATATTTTAAAACTAGAACCTAATTCTAATTTCTCCAGTTTTCCCACTAATGCCCAATTTCTGGGCCAGGATAACAGGTTTTATCCAAGAACCACAGTGCATCTAGTTGTTAATTGTTCTTGATCATCTTTAGCCTGCCAATGGTTCCTTAGTCTTGCTTTTTATGACCTTGCCACTTTTGCAAAGTTCTGACTGATTGTTGTGTCAAGCAGATCTTGAATTTGGGTTTGTCTGAGGTTTTCTCAATATTTGACTGAGGTTATGCATTTTGGGAAAGACTCCTCCGATATGATACTGTGTCCTTCATGGTGCATCCTGAAGTAAGGAGGCTGAGACCAAGTGACTTCTTACTGCCATCCTAGTACCTCTTGCTGGCTGGAGGGAGTTCTACACGCAGTGCTAAAAAGCTTAAAGGTGAGCGAAGCCATTGGTTAAATGCAGATGCCTAGTTCGAGGTGAGCTTGGAGAACTCTGCTTCAGAGAAATGCAGATGCCATAGCCTTGGGAAAATTTTGAATATAAAAGAATTCTATGGTCCTGCCTTGATTCTTCCTAAATGGCTTAAATCACCTGCCTCTGAATGCTTTTCAGATTTCCCCTATATAGAAGGTTGAGGCCTATTTTCCCTAGATGGAAAAGTTCCTCTGGTACCTGAGCTTGTACCTGAATATATCCATATAAGATATGGCATCTAGTCTTCATGGTGGGAGGAAGGTGATCTCCCCTCCCTGGCCTCCCAGGTGATGGGTGTACCTGAATCTCTGGAGACAGGGGTGGGTACTTGAAGGATAGGTTACTAAACCTTTCAGTCCAGTGCCTGGGACTGGGAGTTTCCTGTGATCCTGCCCCCTGACCTGACCCTGTCTAGGCTCAGACCAGCTCAGATGCCATTACACCATGCCAAATGTCTTCATGCTCATGTCCCATCTCCTGGCACTTCCCTGGTCACCATGGTGTCCCAATTCATCTCTCCTTGGGAGCTGAATTAGTTTGTTGGTATTGTTTTTGTTCTTTCTTTCCTTTCTGGCCTTCATGGCTCAGTTTCCTAACAGTGTTAAATGTATTTGCTGGCTGCTGGTCTTTGAGACAGGAGTCCACCATGCATTCGCTGGCCTTTTAATAAAGATTCCAAGATTCGACCTCTCACCTTATAGCATCCTATCACAGCATTCATCCTGGCCATTACTAGTGATACAGATCTTGAAGTTTCTTATTGTATCTTTCACCCTACTGGCTATTTACTCTCTGCTACCTATAACAGATAGCAAGATAACAGATCATGAAGAGCAGAACTGGCGGGGAACATAGAGACCATCTTCTGTTAGCCTCTCTCTTCTCAATTAAGCACCCAGAGGCTCAAGGCTCCAGCAAGGCAATCACTTGCCCAAAGATTAGCCAGTTATTTAATGAAAAAGTGTGTCAGGTCTCAGGGTTCAAAGTTTAATACTATCTTCATTTTGTAGTTGGGCTCAAACACTTATAACTCACTTAGTCCTACTTTTACCAGACTGCCAGAGCTAAATGGACTTATGAATATTTAACTAATCTGGTCAAAACTTACAACCTAACTGGAAGAAATACCATAGAGAGGGATGTAGTCTTTGATTCCTGGTGCCCACTCACAGAACTAGACAAGGTGTGAAATCAGATGAACTTCTCCACCAGCGTTTCTGAAATGAAAATAATTCTCCTGGAATGCTCCGCATAACACAGGGAACAACAACAAAAAAACCTACTTGAGATTTTTAACAGAAAAAGGAGATTTGTTTATTAATAATTCATGAGTTCCATTGAACATGCACGACAGAAACCGTGCTATTCAATAGAGAATACTGTCATCTGTCACTGTTTTATTTGACATTTACACTTTTTTTTTTGCCTGATACTGCAAAACTTTCTTGGATGGCATGCAAAAATTATATAAATGAAAGAATCCCAACGTGGGGACCCTTTATGTCTTCTGTGGTGGGCTACACACATGTACATTCATGCAACAGCATGGCATGTCCCCCACCCATTCATTACTCACCAAACAAGCTAATAAGAGACCCTATTGAGAAAACAGAGATGAGCATCCCAAATGGGCTGGTGGGTAAGGTGGGAAGGGAGGTGGAAGGATAGATTTCCTGAAGATAAGCACATAAATACGTGCATCAGAGTGAGGAGGAAGCAAATCATGGCTGCCGTGAAGAAAACTGACAAAAAAATACACTGCCATTTCAGATACAAAATAAATATTTATAAATGGCATCACAGGAGCTCCGTTTGTAGGGAAGATCAGCACTTAGTAGAAGAGGTAGGAGGATCTTAGGATATTGTGCTACAGTAAGACTCCCCACAATCTTTCTGCTCCGTGGGTTAGTTATTATTTATAAAAATCACAGAACCAGCTGATACATTCATAAGCTAATTATTGAAGCAGCTGGGTACACATGGTGCAATATGTCCAAGGCTGTGAAGTATCACAGATTTCTTGGGGCCTGCTGTGGTGGGGGTGCACTGTTGAGGCTCCATTCCTTAATCTGATCAGCCAAGCAAACACTTTGTGGGGAAACTAGATTAATAACCCTCTAAATACCATGAATGTGCTTCATCTTCAAAACCGGGTTCCCTTAAACATGCTATTAGCTCAGCTCATCAGGGATTTGAGGAAGTTCTCTGGTGCCCTAAGAACAGGGTCTTGTTGGCTCCATCCCTATGCCAGAAATTAATTTGGTTTGCTTATGTCTGCACACATGATCACACTTGTGTCTAATCCGCTCCCTAATAGCTTCAAGGTCAAGACCTTTCATGTCAGTGGGCAAATTGAGCACTACACCTCTTAAAGACTGATGGCAAACAGCACACAGTCCATAACGAGGCCTGTAGTGTTGTTCTAAGTGATTGTAATGAGTGCAGATTATAACAGCGCATATAAATCAAATGTGGCAATGAATGTTGTGCGAGACATTCCAAGTGTCATAAGTGGAGATACCACTCAGCTGTCACCTGTCTCCTTTCAAGCTGTGGCTTCCCACAATGCAATTCATCCCTCAAGCAGAACAGCAGGTGCTGTCTTCCTTGAGGTCTGGGCAGCTCAGAACTTCATCTTTTAACAGATGTAGATTTTTGTTTTTATTTTCCATTCAAGGATTGGTCTCTATGCTATTGCTTCCCCTGAGAGATGTTAAACATACCTGTTTGAAACATTTGAAAGAGTTCAGTTGGAGACTTATTCAGATTTATGAAAAGACAGTGAAACAGGAGCTTATATTTTCCACAGATGGTTTATTTTCCATTTCAAGAATTCCTCCCTTTGTATAAAGAAACCCTTGAGGAAACACTTTGGGACCAAGAGATTTTAATTTTTTTAAATATCAGTTATTGTCTGGCAGGAATTAAAAACTACCTTCATTTTTCATATATGTGGCTCTATGAAAATTAACCATTACCTGCCTCTTAATTGAATTCAAAACAATCTATGAAAATACTTGGGGAAACATTTCCAAGCAAACGATAAGATATCTTGTTTTCATTCTTCCTAACCCTCTAACTCTCCCAAGCTCCCAGTTTATTGCAAGAAAAGACCAGGTCTGCGCAAATGTGGCCTCTCACTTGTAAAAACAAGGCAGTGTTGTGTTACAGATTAGTTTATAAATCCCCAGTGGCTTCACAGTTCAGTGCCTACAGCTGCTGCAGATGGGCCTAGGTTTTTGTCTCTTCGCGGTGCTGCAGCCGGCAGTTGAAGGAGAAAATGGAATGATCAGGTTATTAACATGGAGGCCGTGAGGAAGAGGTTGCACAATGAGAACAGCTGGTGTTGCTGTCTTGGCTGATGCAGCGGAGATAATCAAATCTTGCCCTTTTTTTTTGGGTAAAAGCAGAAGACACAGTGGAGAGTTAGACAAACAACGGCTTATGATATTATATGGGGCTTTTATGATGCGTGTCAGGAGCTTACATTGGCTTACAAGTTCTGATAGAGAATTCGTTGAGGTTTGGGGATTCATTTTTCACAAAGTCAGTTGCATGTACACACCTCTTTCGAAAAAAATTACTCTTCTGTAAGATTCATAATGTGGGACAGTTCTTTTTTTAAAAAAAATTAGCTATGTAGCTTGGAAATGATGGGTTAGAAAGCTACTGGGTAAAATATTTTGACATGAGTCAGTGAGCGATGTTGACAGCATCCTCAGTATTATTTTCATATAATCCATCATTATTTGCATTCCATTTTCTTTCTCATGCAGTTGCAAGAGAGAGAACATCCGGACACCAGAGTTGGTAGGCAGACATTTGCAGGTGCAACCTGACCAATTGCCTGTCTTCCTGCAGGTGTGGCTGTGGCAGGAAAGGGATGGTTAGGAGTGCATCAGGCTCAGAGCATTCAGAGATTGACCAAACATATATTAGTTTTTCATTCTAAGACTGTTGTTTCTCCAGTGTATTTACTAGCAATTGGAAGAATATTTCCTCTTTAGAGAATTCACTGCAGTCTATCTTCTTTCTCTAGAATCGAATTCCTCAGAATTTGTCACCATAGAGATCTATTCATCTGCCCTCTTTTCTTAAGGTATAATTAATATTACCCTAGTGGGTAATTGGTTAAAATAGTGGCCAAACAATGCAACTTATTGTCTCTGAGAATTGGATAATTGCAACCTTGCTCGAGGATCTAGAGTAAGTTTCCTTAAAAAAATTATGAAACAGTAGTTGAGAATATATCCTGTTGGTAGAATGAAGGTTTGTGGGCGCTGGCATAACCACTTATGAGGCCACAGGTTGTTTTTTGAGTTACACTGTTCCTGTAGCTCCCTACCAAGCTGGTATGATCAATTTTGACAGTAAAACAGGAACAAGTGGCATAGCATCTGACTATGATCCAGGCCTCCTTGGCTGCTCTGGCCCCTGCAGGCTAACTCAGATGACCTCCTCTTTCCAGGGCTGGCTCTGTGAACTTCTCCGCTGGAAAGAAAACCCAAGTCCAGAAAACCGAACCCTCTGGGAGAACCTCTGCACCATTCGTCGCTTCCTGAACCTCCCCCAGCACGAACGGGATGTGATCTATGAGGAGGAGTCCCGACATCACCACAGTGAGCGCATGCAGCATGTGGTCCAGCTCCCACCTGAGCCGGTGCAGGTCAGTGCCCCCCTGCCTCCAGCCCAAACAGGGCTCTCTCTGTGTGGCCATCAAGGGCCAATGGGGCACTCTCTACGTTCTACCACCTCCTGCAGAGGAGGGCCGCTGCATGGTCCCAGGACAGATCACCCTGTTATCATAGTGAGCACTGTGTAACTGTGTGTGTATATGCACAGAGAAAAATGACCAAGGATCCACATGCCAGAGGTATGTGGATAGTCTGTGCCTCATGAGGTTGTGAGGGCCAGTGCACTCACAGAGAATTAAATCTCCCTGCCAGAAAGCATCTTGTCCCTCATTTTGTCTGAAGTAACTTTTGATCCCAAATTCCTCAGAGAATATTTGATTAGAAGAAACAACCACTTGACCTGAGAAATATCTTTGAACTCAACTGAACCTTTGAAAGAATTTGTGACGGATTCCTAGAATGTTAGTATGAGGTGCTGCTCCTTTGGGTTTTCTTTTCAGAAACATGCCTTCATTTGGGTTGGCTTAGTTTTGGCTCTTATTGAAACAAATAATGTATCTTTTTGAAAGTAATTGAGCTTACTGACTCTGTCATCTAAGATCAAGAAGTGTTAGGATTTCAAGAAGTATTTGCCTATGAATTGGTTGGTCCAACTGTCCAATAACATCCATCAAAGGGGACTTCTGAAAGTCTAATGCCTCTTCTGTGTAGAAGAGGAAAGTTGAGGCAAGCATGAATGCATCTATGTGTGTGTGTGTGTGTGTGTGTGTGTGTGTGAGAGAGAGAGAGAGAGAGAGAGAGAGAGAGAGAGAAAGAAAGAGAAAGAGAGAGAAAAGAATGGAAGAGAAGATGGGGATGAAAGATGGGTGACGTGTGGTCTAAGATACAGAGGCAGTGAAGGCCAATGACAAAGGTAGTTGTAAAGTATGCTCACAGGTGCCTGGGTCTACAGTCCCTTTGGTCCACCCTCCATACTATCAAGTCACATTTCATCCAAGTATTGACACCACAGACAAAGCTGTCATCTTATCATTCATTGGTAAACTTCCCAGACCAAAGTTAGAGAGTGAATTGCCCAAATTGTTAGACTCATGGGTTCATAAAGGTAGTCTCTTGTAAAGTCTTCAGTGAAGCAGAGTGTAAGGGTGCACAAGACAGTAAGGGTACACAGTTAGGAAGTGGCACAGCCACCCAGCTTCAGGAGATTGAGCCACAGGGCTTACCCTATAGGACTCATCCTCCCTGTTTCTAGCTGGGACCTCAACAAAAACATACTGGGTCACAAAGAACATTGTTTTTTGACTCTGAGATTTTAAAGTCTTAAGATTAAAGGCGGGAGGCAATATAGATTTTCCAACCTTTTACTTTAGAAATAATTTGATTTGAAACGTGCAGACTCCTTTTTGTGATCATTATTATTCTATCAAGTACAATATTCTTGAATATCAATCAATTAAATGGATAGTCTCAAAACAAAAGACCATGCCAACTATATAAGTACAGCCATATGACAAACACACTTTTTCCCTCATGGGGGTATAGCTTGCTCCATACATGTCTTGAACCTGCACAAAGCCAAAGGCTTTGGGAACCATTGAATTTGCATGGACTTTGTTATTCAGGGTCCATCCTAGTTCAGTCTAGCAGTGAGAAACTCATTAGTGGCAGGCCCATTTCAATCATAGGACAATGAATGATGAGTTAAAAGCTTAGAGGAATTTGGGATAATAGTATGAAAACCCATTCTCTAATATGACTGGGGACCCCTTCATTTCAGTGCTAGCTCCCATAACATTCCTGGCGTGATTCTTTGTCCAGAATGCATCATCTTTGTAGAGCCTCTGGCTAGGTAGCTGAAAAAATATTCAACTTAGCATTTTGTCTTACAGTTGAGTAAAGTAACTATTAGGAATGGACAGCCAATTGATTTATAAGTTTTGTTATCTTTTATGTTTGTATGTCAGAACCAGAAAGTGCTGATCCTATGTAATGACTAACAGAAATTCACTTATTCTATAAAAGTTTATTCCTATCTCTCAGACCTTGGCTAAAGTGTTTATAACTAAGATAATTTACTGCACATTGAATCAGTTGCCCTATCCATTTCCCTTGACCTCGATCCCTTCAGTATTGTGAAATTCTCAGTACATTAGTTTTGTTTTTTTTTTTTTTCCTTTTTCACATTGTGCCAGTCTCTGGGTGACACTTGCCTTACTGAATTTGTTTGTCAGAAAAATGCAAAGCTATAGATTAATTATTTATTACAGTCAACTACGAAAAATGAAGAAAAATAGCTGGAACCAGCCAGCAGAACTCTTGAGAATGGAGAACACAGCTGGCACAGTTCTGTGACTCAGAGAGGACTGTGTTAAAGGGACACCAACCCACTAAAAATGCCTGTAATTGACCAGAAGCCACGTCATTAGATTTGGGTTGCAGTTCACTTCTACGCTGGATCAGCTAGATTTCTAGAGAGATAATTTTGTTTACTTACTTTAGGAACTTTCAATTCATATGCAGGGCAAAATTAGTTTGGCAGTGTTACATTTTGTCTAATTAGGTAGAGAAAGGCCATCGCTAAATAGTTAAAAATGAGTGAGACCAATGATGACCAAGTTTTTTATGCATGTGGCACATTACACCACAGAGGCATCTTCCCCATGTGTTTATACAGGAGTGCTAGGAAAGTTTCTTTAGGTAGTTTGAAGATACAGCATACTGTGCTGGATCTTTCCTTTTGTCCTCCCTCCCATCTTTTCTTCCGGTGCTATTTTTGTTGCTGTTGTTGTTTTGTTTTGTTTTTGTTTTTGAGATAAGGGCTCACTATGTAGCCCAGGCTAACCTTGAACTCTCGTTCCTCCTAGAGCTGGATTTACAGGCTTGTCCCACTATGGCTGGAGCAATTTTTTTTCAAATAGTGAAGATATGAGGCTAGAGATCTTTGAGCATAATGATTCAGTGGATTAATCTGTTAATCAGATTAATGGATCCCATTGATATACTAGATGATAGAAGGATTTTTTTTTTATCACCTGCTCATTTGGTGTTTTCTGTGGAGCTGAGAAGTCCCCTTGAGACATAGCAGCTTTCCTTTCAAAAGAGAGTACATTTTTGGACAGTCTTGTGTTACTTGCAGATATGTTTCTTTTAAGTCCATAAAGGTTTAACAATATAAGCTCACATTTTAAAAACAGGTATTATGTAAAGCCCAGAAAACCAGAGGATCTGAGCCACAAAGCTCAAGAGTCACATATGACTAGAGTTCTACCCTTTCTACTTAGCACCCATACACCATCTACAGCCCATACCCTGTGACATGCATGTGCATCTCATCTCCATCATTTATTTAAGCTTCATACCTATTGTATCAGCCCCTGTATGGTCTCCTGAACCCTGTGTTTCACCTCAAGAGCCACTGTCAAATCCACAGTGCCTTTGCCCTAAGAATCTGATTTATTTGATGGTAACAATTGCACACCATTTACAAAAAATTTGAACACCTAACATCCTTTGCATGCTTACCAGTCAATGCCTGTTTGGTGGAATTCCACTTCAGAGATAAAGCAAGGTTACAGTTGAACCCACATTGGGCTTAGAGCCATGGACGAATGCTGTCAGCCCTGGAGACTCCGTTGTTCTCCAAAATTACATGGCTTCCCTTGGGGATTCACATCTCCTCGGAGATGCATGGTTTTCAGGCCATGTTACCTGGCCTCTCCCGGCCTTCCCAACTCTACATACACTTCTTAAACTAAATCCATTCACCACCTAAACCCACGGAGAGGCTTTAATGGACCTAAGTTGCTGACCATTGGGTAATGGGGTTACCAATCCTAGTGCTAGTAGTTTGTGTTGCACCAAAGAGGTATGGTGCATAAAGAGATATTCAGTACATTTCTGACATTAAATTTGATGGTGAAGGAAGGTGATTGGAGAGGAAAATGCCTAAAGCTTCCTTGGGGGTTGATAATAGGGAAAAGCTGATGAATGTTAAGGACACAATGTTTTCAGTCTGTCTATATGGGCAATGTAAAGAGCAACAGAGGTACGACAAAGTAAGGCAAACCAAGCCAAATCAAAGTATCACATGAAAAAGATGAAATAATTTTTTTTACTTGAAAATATTAGAACAAAATTATTTTTTGTGGTTGTGGTGATTTTTCTCCATCATGATTTTTGTTATTATGATAATAATTATTATTATATAATGAATGAACTCTATAGTGAATGGATAGCTTTAGCTTAGAATAAAAATGTAGTTAGGTTAGTTTATGCATTATTACCAACTCCATTTTACAGTTGCAAAAAACTGAAACAGTCATTGAGCCTTGCTTGAAGCCAGTATTACCAGCTGCATGGAATCAGGGGTGGTGGGGGGTATATACACTTTCCTTGGAATGCAGGAGAGAATAAATGACACCATCGTACTATGACAAGGTCCCTAAATAGACCCCACTGGGAACATTTGCCAAATTGTTTATTCTTTGTAGTTGGTGCTTTGTTGTATTTCTGTCATAGTGTTCCTATGGCTGATTTGCATGTCATGAATTCTGTGCTTGATACTGTATCATTTCCTGATAAGTTCTTGTTTTCAAATTGTATGTAATGCCTTGAGGAAGAATGTGACAACTATCAGGGCACCGCTAGTCAGGAGGCAGAGATCTGAGGGTCACAGTTCTAAATTAGTCTAGGTAGGAAAGTCCATGAGACTCTTATCTCCAGGTAAGCAGCAAAAAAAGCTAGAAGTGGAGCTGTGGCTTAAGTGGTAGAGTGCTAACCTTGAGCAGAAAAGCTCAGGGGCAGCATCCAAGCCTGAGTTCAAGCCCCAGTACTGGCGCCAAAAAAAAAAAAAAAAAGAAGAAAAAAGAATGTAATCCAGCTATGATAGCAACATAACAGCATTGTACCTTTCCTCATCTGGACTGCTGCTCACCTGGGAATTCTCAGCATTTTCTAAGCCAATCAGGTTCTCTGTAATTGGTGTAAATGATTCCCCACCAGGCTGATTTTGTTTATCCTGGAGTATTTGGAG